CCAGCTTCTCATCCCCCCCTTTGCCCATCTGCACAAGCCTCTCCCCGACGTCCCGGAGAATGTGCTTCATGATCTTCCCGCTGCCGGTCTTGGGAAACTCATCACCCACACCTTCATCGCCAATCCAGAACACGTACTTGGGCGCTTTATGGCTCCCCAACGACTTGCGCACCCAGTTGTTGACTTCCTTCCAACCCGGCCTCATCAGCCGCGTTCTGTTTCCTTCCTTGAGGTCGAGATCGAGACAGCCGGGTCGTGGATGTGCCCGCAGGAACGCGCCGACAACTTCGCCGTACCTGGCGTCCTTGATGGCGACGCAGCTGGCCTCGGCTATCGAGGGATGCTCGGCCAGGCAACTTTCAATCTCGCTCGGGAAGATGTTTTCGCCACCTATTTGTACGCTCATAGGTCAGTCGTGAGTACGCGAGATCTCAATGCGTAGAAAGGTACAAATGGGAGCTCGGTCGTGGTGACTTACCGCGAATAATGATATCCTTGATCCGCCCAGTTACAGAACAGTACCCGTGTTCGTCGATGACACATTCATCACCAGTGTACATCCACAGGACACCATTTTCATCCCTTTTCATCACTTCATCTGTCTTTGCTGGATTGTTGAAGTACCCCCTCTGCAAAGCATAGCCACTTACACAGAGCTCTCCTCGCACTCCACGTGGGACTATGTTTCCAGCGCGGTCGACAATCTTGCCCATTGTATGTGGTAGCACGCTCCCAACAGTCTTGGTTCGTCTTTCTTCCGTGTCATCAAGCGAGGTCATGAACGTCACGGGACTCGTCTCAGTCATTCCATACGCGATGAGCACCCCTTTGATACCAAACTCTGGGTCTAATTGCTTCACCAGCGCCGGTGAAACCGATGACCCTGCAACAAGTCCTGTCTTGACGGACGAGATCTTGTATCTCTTTGCTTTGTTGGCTTCAATCTCCGCAATGAACATGGTTGGTACCCCGAGCAGCGCAGTGCATTTCTCTTCGTTCAGTGCGTCAAGGACGGAGTCGGGATCAAACTGGTCGCAGGGGAACACAATGCTGCTCCCATGAGTGAACGCCCCCAGGAAGCCCATCACAAGACCAAAACAGTGAAACAGAGGAGGCGGACAACAAACGATGTCGGATGGGGTCAACTGCATCTTCATTCCGACGAAGCGGCCATTGTTGATCAGGTTCCTGAGTATGTTAGCACGGTCCATTGCTCAACTGGCAACGGGTCTGATTACCTGTGAGTCAGCATGGCTGCTTTTGGCGCGCCAGTGGTTCCTACCTTGGTCAGTCTGGACTTTCGAAGCCTGCATAGGACCGTGACATACCAGAAGTGAATTGGAGGTTCAAGACATCATGACACCGGACACGGCTCTCAGCTCGCGTCAGTGTCACCTGGTCGACGATCCGCCCTTCAGAGACAAAAGACGAATAGGGACACAACCCTAAACTCTTGTGTGTCGCGTTGTTGTCCGCCGCCAGAGAAACACAGGGTACGCTTCCCAGTTCCTTGACCACAGCTTCAATGTGCGCAGACAGATCTTTCAGTCGGATCTTTGCAGCGATGAAAAGAAGTTTGCATGCTGCAATTCGAGTTAGACCAGCGTTAGAGAGAGCGAAGAAGGGAACTTGCATGTTACACTCAGAGCAGAGACCAGCTCCTTCGGAGTATAAGTGTTGTTCAGGACAATGAAAGGGCAGCCTATCCGCGCAGCAGCAAGGAATGTCTCGATGTACTGATAGCAATTTCCGGCCATGATCGCAATGTTGTCTCCATGCCTCAACCCTCTAGCCAACATCGACTTTGCAATTGCTTCGCTTCGCCTTACAAGATCGTTGTACGAGAGCCTGTGGCGTTGCCAGGAGAAGACGGCTGCTGTGTGTTCGCCATATCGAGCAGCCTGTCGATACATGAGTTCCCCCAAAGTCTCTTCCAACAAGGGTGGCCTTTGAGGGCCTGTAACAAAAGAAGGTGCAGACGCCATCGTTGTTGATGGTGCTGTTGAGTGACTTGCAGGATCAATACTTGCCATTATGCTTCTAGGTGTAGGGGCATTCTGGGAGTCTAGGTAATCACCCTGGTGGATATTGCTGGAGACCTGATATATTAGTGTCATCTGGCCGGACACTGGCAGCGAACATCGGGACCGTGATACTTGGGCATAGTCACCATCCGGACAAACATGTCTCGATCTCTCTTGCGACTGTGGCAGATGTGGAACCCGTTCCGCTCTGGCGGGCCGCCTCGCAAGGGTTGCATTTGGGCTCCGCAACACCGTCGAACCGGGGCAGCCTCGGCCCAACCATGCACGGTACATGTCCAGGGATTGGCCGGTGGTTATGGCGGACTCTCATATCACATCAAACCCCGAAGCTGGTTCCATGAGTCTCGTCTCCAGGTCCGCTCCCCTCTACCTAAGATCCATTCCAAAGCCATGTCGCACGCTGAGTCTTTCCCCGTGGTTGAGTCGCTTCTCGATGTGACCAGAGAACCGTATAGGTCGAATCGAGAGGCATGGAAACCGGTGATAGACGAGTTCTCCAGGAATCTATTGAGGACAACATCCGAAGGCACCTCCCAATCTATCGACAAGCATGAGGAAAGGGGACAACTATTGGCAAGAGACAGGATATCGCTGCTTCTAGACCCCGATTCGTCTTTTCTCGAACTGGGCTCTTTTACGGGCTTCGACTTGAAGGATTCCAGCCCTTGTGCCAGCCTCCTGGCTGGTATTGGAAGTATCAGCGGCCGCATCTGCCTCGTTCTCGCGCACATTGCAACACAAAGTGGTGGCGCATGGAACGAGCTGACAGTGATCAAACAAAACAGAGTGACGGAAATCGCCAACGAGAATGACTTGCCGATCGTCGCCCTCGTGCAGTCGGCAGGAGTCTTTCTTCCGCAGCAGTTTCGAGTGTTCCACAAGGGGGGACAGATTTTCCGTGATCTCGCCGTGCGAACCCAGAATGGACAGGCCTCTTGTGCAATTGTCTTTGGCTCCTCCACGGCAGGTGGCGCCTATCATCCTGGGCTGTCAGATTATACTATTTTCGTTGAGAATCAAGCACAAGTCTTTCTCGCAGGTCCTCCTCTCGTCAAAATGGCTACCGGCGAAAGTATCGTTGCGGAAGAGCTGGGAGGGGCTCGAGTTCACGGGACTGTCACCGGCCTTGCGGATCAAATTGCCTTTGACGAGTTTGACGCGGTTCGCAAGGCTCGAGAATGGGTCAGTACGTTATCGGCTCCGAGTCGACCAGCGCAGCCTATGCGTCCACCGCTTGCGCCGCGTTATCCCATCGATGACATATTTTCCATTGTCAATCCCGACGTGCGAAAGCCTTTCGACATGAAAGAGGTGGTTCTTCGGTTGATTGACGAGTCACGTCTGGCGGTATTCAAGCCTGAGTATGGTCGGAATCTGTTGACAGGGTGGGCATATATCATGGGTAAGTTCTGGCGGTGATCCTCGATGTCAAACAAGGACTGAAATGAAATAGGAATGCGTGTTGGAATAATTGCAAACCAGACACCCATCATCAATCCCGACGAAGCATCCAAAGGCACGCAGTTCATCCGCCTGTGCAATCAACAAAACATCCCGATTGCCTTCCTTCACAACGTGACGGGTTTTATGGTGGGCTCCAAGGCTGAGCATGCAGGCATCATCAAGAAGGGGGCGCAATTTGTATCCGCGGTCAGTTGTTCAAAAGTGCCACACATCTCCATTATCTTAGGGGCATCATATGGCGCAGGCAACTATGCCATGTGTGGAAGGTCATATAAACCACGCTTTCTCTTCACCTGGCCAACTGGACGGTGCAGTGTAATGGGACCAGAGCAGCTGTCTGGGGTGATGGCTCAGATTGAAGCTAATAGCGCCCGGAGCAAAGGAGTGGTCCTCAAGCCCGAGGAAGTGGAAGCTAGAGTGCAGCGACTGCAGCAGGAAGTCCAGAGGGACAGCAGTGCGTATCGGACAAGCGCCTACTTGCTGGATGATGGAGTAATCGATCCTCGGGATACTCGCGATGTGCTTGCAATGTGTTTAGAAGTCGTGCAGACACCGCCAGTGCAAGGGAGTGCAGGCCATCGGGCTTTGGCAAGAATATGATAAGACATGGTGATGAGAATGAGGAAAAGGTGGAAAAGTGAGCGAAGTGAAGTTCGACGAGCTGTACTTGTACATGAAATATCACTAGAGTCTGGCAGATAGATTTCCTCACCTGTCGCTACAGTCTCCCGTGGTTAACGTAGGATCTTTTGCTTGTCAGACAGATAACAGTGTCAAACACACGCCTTGACACCGCAACATTAGGTGCGAAACATGTCGAGTTGGGGGTGGCATTGGCGTCATTACAAGGCTTGGCTTGCGCTCCATCACACGACAAAATCTACCACAGTCACATGCATACCGAGTAATGCTTCTCAGAAACACAAAAACCAACGAAACTCGCAAGAAAAAAAAAAGAATGATAAGTCCCCTCGGCCGGAGTCGAGCCAGCGACCTTTCGGTTATATGAAAATCCATTACAGCCGAACGTGATATCCAACTACACCACAAGGGGTTAGAACTTTGATAAGTTGTAAGTTGTTCTGAAATCATATCAGACAATTCATTTTGTGAAGCATTTTCGGACTTTTATTATATGAACATGAATTTCTTGCCCTGTGTGCACTAGTCTGTATAGAGGTTTTTGCGCCAAGCCTTGTGCCACTTGTCGGTAGCCGTCAAATGCCGTGGCGTGCGCATCCCCGCTACTATGCCCGAAGTGGTAGCAACATCTCCAGCCAAGGCGGATTTCTAGCAATGACATGACTTCACAAAGGCAAGTCTTTGAGCTCTCCATTACGATCAGCCTTCATGGATGACAGACGCGAGGCCAAACGAGCACGCCAGGCGTGTCTCAATTGTAGGAGGTAAGTCGGTCCATGAATACAAAGCCACGATCTCCAGACAATGGGTGCGATGTGGTATCTGCGTATCCACCACTACGAGCTCACAATGGTTGACAGGAAGAAGACGCGCTGCTCAGGGGAAAAGCCAGTGTGCGCCTTCTGTGCCCGGCTCAATCAGCGCTGTACGTGGGATGGCGACGAAGATGTTTCGCCCGAACGACTCACGGACACGGGCCGAGCTCTATCCTCTTCAGGTACAGCCGCACAGAACGCAAGTCTTGCTGCAAGAGTCGCTTTGCTGGAGTCTCGGCTGAGCTTTCTGGACGCGGACAATGCATTCAACCTATTCGCTTCGGTGTCCCCACCAACGGCAGTCAATCAACCCGTGGATCAACCCCCTGCAGTCGACGACATTGCGCGGACGAATAGCGACTTCACCTTTCTTCCCGATCCGGTAATCTTTCGATCTCTGGTTCAAGTCTACTTTGATCGCTGTCACAACCAACCCTATGCCTTTTTCCACGAAGAGATGTTTCGCCATGATTATGAATCCGGATCATTGCCCGAGTATTTACTCTATGCCTTTGCTGCTGCTGCCTGCCGCTTCTCCGACCATGAGTTCTATCGGCATCGTCGTAGTGAAGCTATCGATGCATATGCACAATCATCATTCGGGCAAATTTTCGAACACTCATTTTCCGATGCCGAGAGTTTGGAGCCTTTGATGGTGGTGGCTCTGGCGATATTGGCGGTTGTGGACTTCGCAGGTGAGTTTGGTGAGACGGTTGATGCGAGGCATGCAAGGATTGACACAAGATCGTGCAAAGCCGGACGCCCAAAGATAGGCTGGGTGAAGCTGGCTCTGTCGTGTCGGTTCGCACATGCCCTGCGACTCAATGAAGAGCCCGATCCACAGCTCCCTATACACGAACAGGAAGAACGGCGACGAATATTCTGGTCGGTCTATCTTCTCGATATCCTGATGTCGGTTGGGCCCAACCGGCCCCCTTCGCTTCTCGATGAAGACTGCACTGTTCGTCTACCCTGTCACGAGAGCTTTTTCAGGGATGGGCTCGACGGGGGCCCGGTGCCAACTTTGACCTCGGTGGTCGAAAATCCGTCAGGCGCCAACCACCAAAACCTGGATCCGTTCGCTATGACTATAATCATGGCATCGGCACTAGGCCGCTTCATACGCTTTAGCCTGAAGCGCACTTTGAATACGACTCATGTTCTCTGGGATCCGCGCTCCAAGTATTATGAGGTACAAAGCATTTTATTGTACTACGAAAGCCACTCGCCATGTGCTTTCAGTACCATTTCCGAGGTGCTCAATCGACACCCTTCATTCAGCGAGTCTACCTCACCATCACATGTCAGCCACATTATCTACTCCCACGCCCTCTACCACCTCAACAATTGTCTTCTCAACCATCCATTCATCTTATACCGCTTCTTCCAGGCATATACGGCACCCGTACCTCTAAGTTTCGTGCAAGAGGCACTACAAAGATGCCGAAGACACGCCACAAATCTCCTCGAGCTACTGATCGATCTGGAAACGTACGGCCCGCTCAGCCATCCCAGCTTCTATGGTTATTGTGCAATGGCGGCTGGGGTGATCCACAGCATATACGAGAAGAGTGAAGACGCAGAAGTCGCACAGGCCTCGCGGAAACAGCTTCAATCAGCTCTGAGCTTCCTACAACGTGAACCAGTACGGTGGGGACATGTGGGCCACATGGTAAGTGATGGCCACCTACAGGCGTTGGTTGTCTTACATGTTATCCCGCTATGCGAGGACAGTGTCAAATGGTAAACAAGTTGAAGAATGTGTACTGATTCAAAGTTCAAGGGTACCCTTCTCCGCTCATTCAAGTTGGATCCCGAAGTTGCCAGGGTTCTCATAAACCCTACGAGCCTGGCACAGAAAATGACCGTGCCACTTGGAAATATGCTGTGGCAGCTCCTCGACTACGCCTGGTTGCCCCACAACATCCGCCCTGGCGAGACAAGGTCTACACTGGCAGATCTTTTGCCAGGAACCGGACACCTGCGGACAAATATCACTGAGTCCTTGGCTTCAGGCAGCACGAATCTTCCAGGAGACCAGTATAACACAAGCGGTGTTCTACCTGCCACGTACGCTCGTATGCTGGGAGAAGACATGGGCGGGATTTTGGCAGAAGCCATGGGAGACAACAGCTTGCAAGGATTTGCGCGGCCAACCTTTTCCAATGGACCGCCGGCTGCTTTTTGATGTCCGTGGATGCGCAGAGAACGGCTCTATTGACGATTTTAATTTAACACTTCTTTTCATCCGCCGACAAGGCCCGCCACTATCCAGAGTTACTTTACATCTTGGTCACAATTTGCTCGACGAGCGAGTCAACCTTTGCAACTCCTTTGTCTCCAGCTTGACTGCAAGGTCGCTCAAAATCTCATCGCTGCCTCCGCCCACCACCATGACCCGGACATCTCGACTGATCTGCTCGATTCTGGCACCCTTTCCAGTCCTTGAATAGCCTGCTCCGCCCAGGATTTGCTGTGCGTCCCGGTTGACACGTTCTAACACCCGCCCGGCGCTGGTCTTGAGAATGGCAATCATTCCTCCGAGATTGAGGTCTTCCCGAGACGTAGCTCCCTGGCGATTTTGGGTCGCCCTCTTTCTCTCATGCTCCGTCAGGTACACAATTGACTCCATGTATGCATGTGTTGGCTCGACATCACGGCCAAAGTCCGCAAACTTGGCCGCGATCACTTGGTTCGCAATCAAGGGCTTGCCGAAAGTATGTCTCCTGAGTGCATGAGCATAGGCGTCTTCGATGGAGACGCGTGCCATGCGAAGGGACGTACATGCGAGCCAGAGCCTTTCGTGGTTGAAGTTGGACATGATGATATCAAAGCCACGGTTTTCTGCGCCTATGAGGTTTGCCACCGGGACTTCGACCTCGTCAAATTCGATATAGGTGGAGCCACTGGCGTTGACTCCCGAGTTTTCGATCTTGCTGCATGTCACACCGGGGGATTTGAGCGGGATGATGAGCGCCGATACTCCCCCGCGGCCTGGTCCCCCTGTGCGTACCGCGGCGGTGCAGTAGTCGGCAAAGATGGCATTGGTGATCCATTTTTTGGCGCCGTTTACGATGTACACATCTCCACGACGCTCAGCCGTCGTTGTGAGGCCCGCGACGTCCGACCCGGCTGTGGTGAGTTAGAAAGAATGACGACTAAATCGGAGAGGAGGGAGAGAAAACTGACCATCCGGCTCGGTGACACCAAGACAAAATCGCGATCGACCCAATATCACGTCGGGGAGGAATCTCATCTTCTGCTCCTCGCTCCCGAAATTTATGAGCGGTGGCGCGCCGATGGAGTTGCCGCAACTCAACGCCCAGATGACTCCCAGGTAGCCACACCTGGCAATCTCGTCAATCACGATCAGGTCGTGGAACCCGTCCCACTCTTCCGGGTCGATGTCTCCGGGCAGTCTCTGGCCGACGGCCTTGATCTGGGCGACTGCCAGAGGGTAGATCGAGACGGCCATGTACCCCAAGCGGGCGTGGTTGAGGATGACCTCGCTGGGCACGGAGCCCTGTCGCTCCCAGTCCTCGCAGAACGGGGTGATGTGCGTGTCGACGTATTCGCGCACCTCGGCCTGGAGCCGTCGATGGCTCGCGGTGTAGTAGGGGCTGACGTCGCGCGAGAGCCACGGAGGGTCTGCGTACGGTGCTGAAGAGACCGAGGGAGCCATTGTGACCGCTGATAAAAGATATTCAATCACAAAAAGTAACAAAATTGTTCCCACTCGGAAGTTTTCCACAATTTCCAACAAAACGGATCAGAGAGGTCAAGAGTCAAGAGTTGGGGGAAGGGTTCTTTTCTCCCTAATCTCGTGACCTCTTCTGTCACGCTGTAGCTGTGGCTGTCCCCTTGTCCTTGTGTAAAACAAACCACTGACTTTCTTCTCTTACAAGCTTTTGTTCCTCTCCTCCCTTTTCTGGCGTTGCGTCCCGTAGTGTGGTGTGGTGTGGTGTGGTGTGGTGCGGCGCGACGTGACGTGAATGTGACAGGGAAGTATGTAGCTCTACAAGTACAACTGTACAAGTAACTTGGGGTATTAGAATAAACCCCAGATTTGTTACAAGTATATATTATATTTCAAAGTTTCACTTTTGAAAAATAACCGATTCAACGCCGAGAAAGAAATCCAACCCATTTATTACTCTTTTGCATGGACAGACGAGGCAAGCCACCCAAAAGAGTGCCCAGTCCCTAGGCAGTTCCTAGGTAGTTTCCTAGGTAGTTGCGATTCTGCACGGGCGGGCCACCCCCAGCCGGGAACAATTTAACATACCACGGCTCTGTTGTTGGGGGAGGGGGCAAAAGGGGAGGTCCGCGCGGGCACCTCGGCCCTTGCGATCGGCTAGACTTGCCTTTGCAGCTAGAACGTCAACTTAATACTGTACATATCATTCCGCAGCGGAAAAACTTGTACGGAGGTAATAATACCGAGTTACTCGTAGTCCTGTTCTAATAGCATCTTGATGTATGTACTCCCTCGATTCGTTTGAGGCTTCAAATACCGTCAGCCGCTTTTCCAAACTACTTTCGTTCTCGTGATTATGCGGCACTGTTCAACCCCAGTAAAGGTGCTGCTTCAGCCTCTAGATCATGTCTTCTGCCTCGGTAGCGTGTGACGAGATACGCACCGAGTAGCACCAACTGATCCCCCCCCCGTCGGTCCCCCCAGCCTCAGCAGCCATCTCAGCGCAATAGCTATAATAACCACAGCCTGAAGGGCGAGAAAGACAACGCTCAGTGCGCCTGGCGCGCCCGACATGCGCCTCATTTCGAGGTACTGCGGATAGAACTGCCACAGGACGAAAACTAGGGCGACCCATGTATGGACGATCAGGGTAAAGCCGATGAAGATTGCGGTACCTATCTCTCGCGGGGACGGTTCGGGAAGAGCGATGAGCATAGCTGGGAATAGGAACAAGGCGGCATGGGTGAAAGCGATGGCAGCGATGGCAGTGCTAGCCTTGTTGTTAGAGATGCTAGCCGGTGTACTGCTGGAGGGGTAGGAGACGAATAAGGTCGTCCTGCATCCTCGTGACTATGTGATTCAAGGAAATAGTCGGAGGAGACTGAACGTACAGCGTTATTGAGCATGCCCATGGAGGAGCTACTTGCAGCAACCCTAGATACCACCCAAGGCTCCGAGACCTGTCAACTTTCCATCACCCACGAGCGACAGAACGGGTTCCTCGGTCGTAGGATATGCATAAGGTGCAAACAAGAGTGCGTGCGCAAACTGAATGCTACTGTAGATGGCATCGAAGAGCACAAAGTATGGAGATATACCCTGGGTAGGACCATGGCGTACGATGCGGGCCATTTGGGGGAGATATGCGGCCACAATGGCAACGAGAAGCACACTAGAGAATGGGTTAGTTTGATCAAAGCGTGACTCGGTGGCAAGGACCTCCAGATCACTAGTAAACGTCGAGGGGACTGTTTGCGTAAGTTTCCGTTCCAAAAGCCCCTGATTGCTATTCCAGTGTGATTTATTGTACACTTGAGTATAGTGCCGGAAATGGTGTGCGTGCGTCGTAGATCCTATAAGAATCAACACTTGAAGCCGAGGACGAACGATACACGGAGGATGGAGGTGTGAACTCTTGTCGAAAGCTGCCGCCTAGATGAACCAAGAATTTGGGCGTCACCAAAAGGCCACACATTACAGATATCGGCATCAGTTGTGTGTATATACGAACATGGTTCATTTCAAAAGCAGGATATCGCCTTCCCTGGGCAGACTCGAAGTTTGGACGTCAAGCACAGCGCTTAGCTGTCCCGTGAGCCTATGGGTGGCTAAAATTGGTGCTACATGGTTAACAGGTCAACCCTCGCACTGTAATCCACATGAGGCCTGATGAGGTCGTTAAAGGTCAAGCTTTACCGGTTGTCCGAGTAAAGGTTCCCAGGTCTGGGGGTCGATCCCGATTGACATGTATAGTATGTGTATGGGTAGTTGATGTTGCGAGTGAGAAACATCAAAACTTCTGTGAACCTTAGGGGAGGCTCTGGAAGCATAAGGTGAACCGAGGGTGGGCAATTCAGTCACGTGCGGAACATGGCCAAATGATTCTCGCATTATTGAGTCTACGCAGTACCTACATACTCATCAGAGGGACTCAAATGATAATCTCCCGTGTACTCTTCGCCTCCTGTTCATCCCGTCCGTCCTCACGGACTGGTCGATATACCTTTGAAGCAGATTTCCCGCTCCTTGAACTCTCGACTTGTGTGCTTGAGGGGCGGGAAACGCGGATTCAGTTCCGATGGGTCTTGGCCGTGGACGGGCCGTGTTTCAATGCCTCAGAATGGTCTTTGTGTACTCGTACGAATGCGCAATGAGGTCAGTAAGTGAACGTATGATTCAAGGTGCAGGCATAATTCGAGGCGAATCACAATCCAGATCGAGGTTCGAGGTTCGAGGTACAAGGCAGGGGGGGTATAATGCACTGTCTAGTGACTAAATACTACCCAACTACCAAAGTACCATGTATATACCGAGGTAGATTGTTTGATTGGCTGATGCCCGCCTCTCTGCCCACTCGTATTACAACGAGACGTGGGGTGAGGTTACCTGTTGAGTAGGTATATATGTTAAGACTGGTTAGTTAGGGACAGGTCGGTAGGTTGGATGATAGCTAGGCAATCAATCTCCAGGCCTCTGCAGAGAAGAGGAACGAATGAATGAGAGTGTTCCTATTCAAGTACAAGTATATCCCATCCGCTCGACGTAGCCTGCGAGCTGCCGTATGGTACGTTATTTATTACCGACAACCCGGTACTTGTGCAAATGAACGACATAAACCCGTCTGTCTATGCGTATACCTGGCAAATCTACCACTTACTCACTCTATTCAACCCAGCACAGCACAGCCCCGTCGTTGACGGCATCCCCATTCTTGACGCCCGTCATGAACTTGCCGTCCACGTTGATGGAAATGTTCGTCTCCATCTTCATGCTCTCAATCACCATGACGACCTCACCCGCCTTCACCTGATCCCCGTTGGCCTTGAGCACCGAGAGGACCTTGCACGGCATGGGAGATTTGATCACCTTCGAATTCGACAACGCCGAGGCCCCGCCAGCCCCGCCTTGTCGCTGACTCTCCATGTAGTTGAGCACGCTGTAGCATTTGTATTCGACCCAAGTCCCCAGCCCGCGGAAGTGGCACAGGACAGTCTGATAGGAGCTGGTAGACGACGCGGGGTTGGACGGTGTGTCTGTCGCGATGTGGGCGTGGATGACGGACTGGTTGATAGAGACGGCCACTGAGGCTTTTCTCCATCCATTGTCGCCACTAAGATCTTGTATGTCTTTCCACTGGGTAAATTCCACCGTGTACTGCGGAGCTTTGGCGAGCGATGGATCCCGCAGCTTGTGGCTGATGGCGTGATATTGCCGAGATATCTGGTAGGCCTCTGTGTTGTTGCGGCTTCCAGTCTCCGAAACACTGTCGTCTGCACCCGTGGGAATGGGGACTAACGTGACCTGGTACTTCGAGTGGCCTTCGCCCCGAGACTGGGACCCCCAAACTAACAGAATCGGTGCCTGAGCGGATGACGGCTCGGAAGGAACAATTATACTGGTGCTGCGATTGACGGGATCAAAGTGTTGATTCCGAAACCCGCGAGTGACATGCTTGAAAGGCCTGGCATCACCGGATGGAGATGCTCCATCTCTCAGCACGAGGCCCGGGACAAGCGAAAGCATGGATATCATGTCCTGCGCAGAGTCGGTGTAGGGATTCTTCAGCAGACTTTGCAAATGCGTCGGAATCAGCGAGGTCGTATATGCCGGATCGTGAAAGCTGTCGTGCACGAGGCAGGACTGAAGGAAAAGTTGGTTGGTTTTCACTCCTGCGCATACGGTATTTGCGAGAACCTTGACCATTTTCGAGATGGCCAGTGACCTCGTTGGTGCCCACACGACAATTTTTGCAATCATCGAATCAAAGTAGATGGATATACTGGATCCAGTTTGTACGGACGTCTCGTATCGTACATCTCTTGACGTTTGATACTGGTCTGATTCGCGCCACAATTGAATGGTGCCATTCTGTGGCATAAAGTCGCCGCTTGGGTCTTCGGCGCAGAGACGACACTCGATGGCATGGCCTTTTTGTGGAATGTTCCGTAGGATGGCGAGACTAGCGAGTGATCCGCCAGCAGCCACAAACAATTGCAATGAGACAATGTCGAGGCCTGTGACTTCTTCTGTGATGGGATGCTCGACCTGCAGGCGTGTGTTAACTTCGAGGAAATAGAAACTCCCGTCCCTGGCGTCCACGACGAACTCGACAGTTCCAGCACCCTCGTAGCCAATGAGCTCGCCGATCTGAACAGCCACTGCGCACATTTTCTGCCGCTGTTCCTGAGTCAAAAAGGGCGAAGGTGTCTCCTCGATAATCTTCTGGTGTCGTCGCTGAACAGAGCACTCTCTCTCCCACAATGAGAGGACTTTGCCATGGCTATCGCCAATAATTTGGACTTCGACATGTTTGGCCGCTTCAATGTATTTCTCCAAAATACAATCGCTGGACCCAAAAGAGCGTTGGGCCTCGGATTGAGCGCGAGCAAGCTCGCCCGCAAGTTGCGAGCGCTCTCGAACAATCCGCATCCCACGACCTCCGCCTCCCGCAGACGCTTTCAGCATCACCGGAAACCCTACATTTTCTGCTGCAGATTCCAACTCCTCGACATTCTGACTCGACCCGGTGAATCCTGGAATCAGCGGGACACTTGGCGCATGTTCCCTCAAGTAGTCCTTCGAGTTCCGCTTGTCACCTAGCGTCGACATGGCCTGAGAGCTTGGTCCAATAAAGATCAACCCCGCTTGACGTACAGCATCCGCGAAATCTTTGTTCTCGCTGAGATAGCCATAGCCCGGATGTATGGCATCAGCGCCCCTTGATCGAGCAACCTCTACCAGAAGTTGGACGTTTAAGAACGGGTTTCCGCCGGCTTGATTGATGCTTCCCAGATTGACTGCTTCATCTGCCTCAGCCACATGGCGTGAAGATGAGTCTTCCTCTGCATAGATGGCGATCGAGGTTAGATCGAGTTTCCTGCATGTCGTAATGATCCGACATGCAATTTCGCCTCTGTTTGCAATCAGCACCCTCTGGATCTTCCTTCGGCCATGGCTGCTAGGTGGTAACTGGGCGACGAAAAGGGGCGGTCGCTGCGGAGTTGCAGATGTTTCTCCTGGGTCTGGCTGGTTGTCGCGATACTGCCTCATTCTGATGGTCTGTTCGGTGGTTGGAGGATTTGAAAGATGTCACTTCAACCAGGTCTGGGACGGGGCACGCATTATAGCCGATGCACAGGACAAATTAGTAAAGCCCTCAAGCTCCGTGCCTGCCTAGACATGGTTCTAACCACACCTTTGGAGCCAAATGACCACCAGAAATTCCGCGGGGTACCCTACCGAGGCAAGTAATTTGCCGTTTTCTGGTCGACGGAGAAGGCGGGCCGTGCGGTGGCAGCCACCGGATCTGGGACTTTGCATGTTTGACCAAGCCGCCTTCGGTTGAAACGAGGCCCAGAGGCACGGAAATCTTGGCGAGGCCGGCTAATCTCCCGTCTGACACAAAACTGCAGCCAGATATCAAGTGTAGATGGAATGGACGAGCAGTGACGGTGTCCTGCGGCCCCTTCGATGCCTGCATTTCCCGGCCCAATGCTTCGCCGGATATTGATCACGTGTACGCCAAGGCCACTAACCTCTTTTGGCGCAAATATCAAAAGTGAGTCTCAAGTCATTTTTGTCAAAGACTTTGATCAGGAAAAATCATCCGGCAATTCCACAAACCATCTGAGCTAGAAAAATTCTCTAAATCGCTGTGACCCTGGATCCCGCCGCTTGTGTTTGTCAAACTCGTGATACGCACTTCCTAGAGTTCAACATCATCAGCCCGCCAAGATGTCCTTGACCAACGTTATCGACCCGGAGAATGCCCCAAACTATGAGGACATGGAGAAACAGTTCGCCGTGAGGGCAGTGCAGCATATGACGGTCTATTGGGGCATTCTCGAAAAGATACCTGGCTCAAAACTTCGCCTGACTCGACTTGACGACGAGATCCTAGAGCACTTTAAGCGTGAATTTCCGGATTTCGACCCTGCTGAGGAGATTGACGAGGATGCCATGAAGAGCAAAGAGGGCAAAGAGAAGTGGCGCAATTTTGCCCAGGTCTACGAAAAGGGCGAGAAGAAAATCGAAGACTACAACTTCGGCACCATGCTGAGGAAGAGTCCCAAAACCGAGTATGGCGAAAAGGAGACCATTTTTGTGATTCGGGTGCAATTCTATGCCATCGAAATTGCTAGAAACAGAGCTGGACTCAACGATTGGATTTATGAAAACGCACAGAAGCAAGAGAAGAAGTCATAGACAGGGAGAGGGCACGCCAACCGCAAATTGGAAACCGAGAGCAATGCCGAACCGTTCAATCAGCACGAGACTGTCTCAGACTCCTTTCAAATATGATGAACCCCAAATGTCTCAATACCTGAGCCTCCTGGGCACATTCCACAGAACAATATCAAGGATCCAAGGTGTGCCACCGACGGCCTTGGCACTCAGCATTCAATTCAAGGAATGAACAATTTTTTTCAATCATGACTTCGCATGGTTCAAGTTGTTGATTCTTGATCTTTAGTCCCACTGCAATTGGTTCGCGACATTGATACGTTGGTCCTGTCAACCATGTCTAGTCAAGCATCCACCTCCACGACATGACCACCAATGCACAGGATGAGGATCAAACTGAGTCTAACGAGGCGCTGCAGAAATATGGCTTCCTCGCTCGTTGGAGAAGCATTTTCAGATTCACTGCAACAGCACACTTGTTCGTCCTTTTGCCAGCCATCACTATTTCCGCTGCAGCAGGATGTTTGCAACCAGCAATGGCTTTCTTTTTTGGCCAATTCTTCGACACCTTTTCGGATTTTGCCGCGGGAAAGACTGATGGCTCAACCTTCATGCACCGTTCTCTGCGCAGCCTCTATGCGCTCCTTAGAGTCGCAGGTGCCACGGTCTTCTTCAAGGGCATCCTTTTTAGCCTTTGGCTGGTGTTCGGCGAGATGCAAGCCAGGAGCATTCGTGAATTGCTCTTCCAATCTTTGCTCGATCGTGAAATAGAATGGTACGAGGCGCGAACAATTGGAGTAGGGACACTCTTAACCAGGTTTCAAAGGTACGGGGCACCCAACATTGCGATGCTTGTTTCTCACGAGATCAGACAGATCAGTCAACTGCAGCTAGGAAGTTCCCAGCCTCTTGGCTTTATCATTATGTGCCTGGTTCAGGCGCTGGCTGGACTTAGCCTCGCATTGCTCACCAACTGGAAATTGGCCCTGATTGTGCTCTCGGCTATACCTGTCATCGCTGTCGGCAGCGCGCTCATTTCTCGACGTATACAAGCAAATATCGACTGCCAGAACCAGAAACTAACCACCGCAACCAGCTTAGCCAACAACTGCGTCAAAAACATTGTTACTGTGAAATGCTCCAATACTCAAACCAGGGAAAGAAACAACTACGCTTCCGCGGTCAGGGCAGCTGGCGTGTTCTCTCTGAAGCAGGCTTTCTCTACTGCCTTACAATCCGGATTCGTACGTTTCACCACGACGGCAATGTTTGTACAGGGCAAGTCTTTCGTGCCTGATCATAGAAAAAATCTCATGAATGTGTGCAGGGTTCTGGTTTGGCGGTACACAGGTTCATTCAGGTGGAACAACCGCTGGGAAAGTGGTTACTACATTCTGGGCCTGTCTTATAGCTACGAAAGCATTCGAGGACTTGCTACCACATTGCATCATTCTTCAACGGGCCAAATCTTCAGCCCTAGCGTTGGAGGCAGTGGTGGCTAAAGTCACGAGGGGGCGATCGCAACAACAAAAAGCAGGTGGAATCTCACCGCAGTTTTGCGAAGGCAATATCGAAATCCGGGCGGTACGTGTCAAAACATATTTGACAAGTCGATCGACTAATTCGTCCAAAGGTTTCCTTTGCCTATCCTTCTAGTCCCACGTCCCTTGCTCTCGACAAATGCACATTCTATTTTCCGGCTGGGAAGACAACGTTCATCGTCGGCAAGAGTGGATCTGGGAAGAGCACACTCACCAATATGCTGTTGAGGTTCTATTATCCAAAGAGTGGAGCAATCTTCATCGACGACCACGCCTTAGGAGATATTGATATTAATTGGCTGAGAAACAATGTCACCCTTGTGCAGCAAGATTGTGTGCTTTTCAATGACACGATTTTCAACAACGTTGCTCTTGGTCAACGTGATTTCGAGCGAGTTCCGGATGCGCGTGTCAGCGAATGTCTGAGGATGGCCGCATTGGAACCCACCATTGAGCGACTTCCGGAGGGTGTCCATACTATAGTTGGCACCGGCGGCTCGTCTCTCTCTGGAGGTCAAGTGCAGCGAGTTGCCATTGCGCGTGCGTGTCTACGCAACACACCGGTAATGATACTAGACGAGGCAACAAGTGCTCTCGACAATCTGAGCAAGACAACTGTCATGGAATCTCTTCGGGAGTGGCGACGTGGAAAAACGACCATCATTATCACACACGATATGAGTCAGATACAAGAAAATGATTTCGTGTACGTCCTTGAAAGCGGTCGAGTTATTCACGAAGGTCGTCGTGGGAGCCTTGCTGCTGGCTTCGAAACAAGCACTACTGATAAGGGAGTTTACGCAAAACAGCAGGTAACCGAGGAACACAACCTTTCCACGAGGTACTTGTCCTGGGGCGGTTCTACAAGCTGGTCAAATCAGTGTAGCCCTTCTGTCCCATCTCGGAAAGACTCTTTCGACTTCGACCCAGCAGAAGGAAGACAAGGTCGCACTTATGAAAATATTCAAGACGCTGGCCAAGGAGTACAACTTGGACGTAGCCTGAAGAAAGGCCTGTCTACAAGCAGTGAGGCTGCGCTGATGTTTCTCAAGCGTCAATCAATGGCTCGCGCTAAAGCTATATATGGCCTTGGTCAAACACCTACGCCTGGGTATCAAGGAGCGACTTTATCTTCATCAACGTATAACAGCCCCGAACCCATTCTCCGCAGAACCATTTTCATATCACCCGTCCCCGTGTCCACACGACCGCGGGACAAACCACTGCCTATACCACCTCTGAGGTCCGATGCTGAAAGTGGAGGGACAATTCCAGGCTACGGGACTGGCGCGCCCTTTGTTGATAGAGAAAACAAACGACTACAACCAGCAGCTTCAATCCCCACAGTTTTGCGTACAATATGGCCTTCACTCGATAATGCTCATCGAACTAAGCTGCTTCTTGGACTTCTGGCGACGCTGATCCACTCAGGAGCTCCCCCTGCATTTTCTTATGCGCTCGTGCAAATCTTCGACACCTATTACTTGCCAATAGGGTACCAGAAGAAAGCCTTGATCTACTCGATGGTCGTTCTCGGAATCGCCGTCACTGATGGGTGTGCGTGTTTCTTCATGCAATATCTTCTCGACTCGGTAAGCCAACTGTGGGTGGACACGCTCAGAATTCAGGCGTTGCAGCGCATTCTACGCCAACCTAAGGCCTGGTTCGATGAAGACCATAATAGCCCTGCAGCTCTCATGTCTTCACTCGATAAGAGTGTAGAAGAAGTCAAGGATCTCGTGGAAAGATTTGCGGCCCAGCTCCTCGTCGTTGCTGTTATGATGACTGTGGCAATGATATGGGCCATGTTTTCCTGTTGGAAGATCACACTGGTCAGTCTTGCAGCCTCTCCCGTGCTCTACGCTCTAGCAAAGTGGTTTGGGTTTGTCGCTTCTCTTTGGGAATCTCGAACAAGCGCAGCCAGCGACCGTGTCAACGAAATTTTTATCGAATCTTTTGCAGACATCAAGACAGTTCGATCGCTCACGCTGGAATCTTACTTCCACAAGAAGTATCGCAATGCAACCCAACAGACCTTTTCCATTGGTGTCCGACGAGCTTTATTCAGTGGCTTCTTCTTCGGCCTATCTGAATCCGCCATCGCTTTCTTCACACCATTGATCTTTTGGTATGGAGCTCGGCTCGCCAAAGATGGCGAATGGCCGGTGAACTCTATATTCACCGTGTTTGGTCTCCTTTTGTTTTGTACCGCCAACGCTAATGCGGTCGTTACATACATACCCCAGACGAGTTCAGCGACCGATACCGCGAGTCGCCTGATTCGACTTGCACATATGCAAGTGAACTCTCATGAAGAAGTTGGGGAGGTTCGGCTCGACAAAGACGATCCAACCACGCTCTCGGGTCCGATCCATTTCATCAACCTGACATTCTTTTACCCGACCCGTCCAGAGGCAGCGGCCCTTCGGAGACTCAATCTCACCATTCCATCTGGCAAAACCACCGCGATCGTAGGATCCTCGGGCTCTGGAAAGTCGACTATCACATCTCTCCTGCTGGGCCTCTACCCCCCGACGGCTGATCATCTCGCCCTGTCCCCTTCCAACCCCTGGGACGGTCCAGCATCTCTCACACTGTCCGGTCGTGACATTCGAACACTTGACCTCTCCTGCCTCCGCTCCCTGATCGCCACCGTCCCACAGCACCCAGTGCTCCTCCCGACCACGGTGCGCGAGAACATTTCATACGGCCTCCCCCCGGAATCTCCGTGGACGTTGGCAACGCGGGTCGAATCTGCCGCGCGCGCCGTGGGGATCCACGAGTTCATCCAGTCGCTCCCGCAGGGCTACGCCACCATCGTTGGCGACGGCGGCCTCGGCGTCTCCGGCGGCCAGGCACAACGCATCGTCATCGCCCGCGCGCTGATGCGCGATCCCAAGATCCTCATCCTCGACGAAGCGACCAGCGCGCTGGACCGCGAAAGCGCGGACACCATGCAAAGGACTATCGCCCGGTTGGTTAGACAGAAGCAGGGCAAACTGACGGTTATCATGGTCACACACGCGAGGGAGATGATGGCGGTGGCGGACCTCGTCGTGGTCATGGAGGCGGGGAGGGTGGCTGAACAGGGCGCCTTTGCCGAGTTGGTCGCGAAGCAAGGAACGTTGTGGGCGTTGTTGAATGCTAGGGATGATCAATGATCAGAGAGTCTAGAACCGCTTGAAGCACAGGCGCACGGGACGGAAAATCGTCTGCTCTGTCCTTGCTTTCTCTCAAAGAAACACGGAGGACTGCGCTGGATTTGTCACTGGTTTTGCCCTTTTCAGAATCCAAATTTGCAAATTATCCAAAATCTGTCCTCGAAATCGGTGTCAATATTTCTCATCTACAATCACTACATCTCTTATCATCTGATTATAAACCCCTCCACCTTGGCCGTAGAACGACGCATCCAGTCACTGACTACCCTCTACCCTGTTCTCTTCAATCCACGTTCTGACGGCCGTCCAGTTCTTGCACGTATGTACAGCGCTCTGTAATCCGCCCCCACCATCGGCCACCGTCTTCTGATGGCCCACGTAGTGGTGCGGGCTCTGTGGAGACGACACCACGCCGCCGTCGCGGGTGGGTTCCAGCGTCGTGTCCGCGGTGCAGAGGAGGGCTTGTCGGACTATTCGTTGGAGAGGACAGAGTTGAGTAAATTTACCAGAAAAAGGAAGAGTTGTCAAGTGGAGGAAACAAGGAACGGGGGAGCGGGGAGAGAAAACATTATTCTTACCGTGGTCGAGACAGTGAAAGACGTGGGCTTTCTCGTGCACGTGAGGGTGTTCTTCGTGGTCGTAGTCGATCAGGATCTGGCGGATGAATGCCTAGACGGGAAGAGCGCTCGTGGTCAGTGAATGAATCCAGACAACTTCAGTGAGAACGACTCGGTTCCATGCAATCGAACAGTCCAGTGTTTGAGCACGGGAAGATGTCGGGGCGGGGGGACTTACCAGACACTCCAACTGTCTCACGACAGCAACGTCGTATATCTCGGTATCAGAAACCGGGTGTCCGTCTCCATCAACGGCAGCGGCGCTCAATGGCAGGCCGTACCTCCTCGGGTGCTGGACGGATATCCTCCCGTCGCCCTTTGGGAACATGCGGAGCCACGCACGATCGCCCTTGGCCCCCTGAAGCTGGAACTCATACCTGTCCGCAAACACTGATGGGAGCTCGCCAAACGATGGAGCGAACATCTTGATTCTAAAAGTCGCAGGTGCGGCGCCGTTGGTCTTCCAGTATGCAGACGGCCCTGTTGGGAATGTAGGTGCGAGCTTGTGCCGATAGCTGAAGAGAGTGAATGAGAGGGCAGCCGTCACGAGGAGGACGCCGAAGAGAGCCTTCAAGGGGTTTCGCCTAGATGTAGAGCTTTCCGCGGGTACAGGCGCTCCGGTGTATTCCCCACGAGGCGACTTGGGGGTCCGCGGAACGACCAGTGCGTTCTTCTCGCCTCGGTAAGGTGAGCGAAATCGGAGAGTGGAAGGCATGTCTTGGTGTTACCATACAACGGCCCTGGAACCACTGCACGCTGCGATAACAGAGATATATGAGATTTAGCCAGTCAATCATTGACATCAAGTCCAACATTGACAGCCAGTAAGACCCGCATTAGGCCATCGGTCCCCAAAGAGGTGGACAAAGAAACAAAGAACGGTGTGACAACCATCTTGTCGAGTTAGTTGAAAGCGTCCACAAAGCCAAAACCCTTTCGCATCTCTCTGCCATAGCCATAGATGGCAGGGCAGTTTAGCACAAAATGTCATGGCAACGAGTCGATTGACATTCGAGGCTCGTTCTTTGGTAGTCATGGGCTACCTAGCTGCGTCGTATGGAGAGAATTTCTGATGGCGTGCAGACTTTGCTGACCTCAAGGGGACCTCTACACAGCGCCACATAGTTGCAGCAGTGAGTTGTAGAGGTAGCCAAGTAGTACGAGGTAGTAGTGCACGAACTCGATAATATAGAAAGCCAAAGGCTTCGCTGAGGGTTAATAGGAGGAAGAACAACCAATCACAGCGGGTCCATCAGGGTCCAAGCCTCATTTGGTCTTAGCGCGAGTAACTTCCCGAAGTTTATCCGATCCCCATGTTTTTCTTTCGTTTTCGACATGCGCGAATCTCTCAGCCTCGCACTTCAGACCCAGCGACATATCAAAGTTCCGCCCGCCCAGGAGCAAATCATGGCAGACACTCAGTCCCGCAAACGCTCGAGATCTGCGGGCGGTGCGAATTCGGACAGTGAGTCTTCCGACGATGACTTTGGGCCAGCTTTGCCCTCTTCGGTGCCTCCGAAAAAGAAACGCAAGCTCCCGTATGAATCCCTCTACGTGGATGCCTTGCCCAAAGCGCTGAGGTATTCCAAGTCATTGATGCACAAGGATCAGTTGCTGGCCGTGACGATCGCCCCGTCGCCCGCTGATTTTGTCATCACCACCTCGGTCGACGGCGTGGTCAAATTCTGGAAGAAAGTCGCTGTCGGGATCGAGTTCGCCAAAGAGTACCGCGCACATGAAGGACCCATAGTGAGCTCCTCGGTCAGTGTTGACGGAAGTTTCTTCGCCACTGCTGGCGACGAGGAAGACGGCACGATCAAGATTTTCGATGTCATCACTTTCGATCTGCTGTCCATTTTGAACCTCGAGAGCCCGGCTTCTTGTATATGTTGGGTCCATCGGAGGGGAGCTTCGCCAATATTAGCTGTCGCTCGCGGCAAAGAGATCTACGTTTACGACGACCCTGGCAACTCGCAAACCCCGGTGCAAACTTTGTCTTCTCTTCACAGAGCCCCGGTGGTGGCCATGGCCTACAACCCCGCCTTTAACTGCGTTGTCTCGGCCGACTCAACCGGCATGATTGAGTATTGGCAACCAGGTGACAACTACGAAAAGCCGGACAGCGTTTTCAAGATGAAGTCTACGACGAATCTGTTTGATTTCAGAAAGGCAAAATCGGCCCCTTGCTGTATCACAATATCACCTTCAGGTCACCAGTTTGCTACCATATCATTTCCGGACAGGAAGATTCGAATCTTCGACTTTGCCTCCGGCAAGCTCTACCGGTCATATGATGAGTCGCTAGAGACAATAACATCGATGCAACAAGCAGGGACGGCGCTTCAGAAGCTCGACGAGGTCGAATTCGGAAGAAGGATGGCTGTTGAGCGCGAACTCGATAACCCGACTGTCAGATCCAGAATCAACATTGTCTTTGATGAGTCAGGCCATTTCGTCGCATATGGGTCACTCCTTGGCATCAAGGTGATCAATACCCTAACCAATCGAGTGATGAAAGCGTATGGCAAGGATGAACCATTCCGAGCTCTGAACGTGGCTCTATATCAGGGAGCGCCCCAAAAGAAAGAAGTGGTGACGGTGTCGATGGCGGCCAGTGCCAACCCTCTGCTCAACGAAGCCGAGGCTCGAGACCCGATGTTGTTTGCAACTGCATATGGCAAAGTTCGGTTTTACATGTTCACAAACGACGAAGAGATTAGCAAGTCGACCCGCGATGTGCAGAATGAGAAGCCTCGAGTCATTTCAGGAAAGAAAAAGGAAGAGAAGAAGGCCCAGTCGGGCACCTCTGCCGTCCTGCATACCACATATGGCGACATCCACATCAGATTGTTTCCGGACAAGGCACCAAAGGCCGTGGAAAACTTTGTCACCCACGCAAGGAACGGCTACTACAACAACACAATCTTCCACCGCGTGATCAGAAAGTTCATGATCCAAGGCGGAGATCCTTTGGGCGATGGCACTGGCGGTGAGAGCATTTGGGGGAAAGAATTTGAGGATGAATTCTCCGATCTTAAGCACGACAAGCCGTATACCGTGAGCATGGCCAATGCTGGGCCAAATACAAACGGGTCGCAATTCTTCATCACCACGGAGAAAACACCTTGGCTGGACAAAAAGCACACCATCTTTGGACGTGCGTACAAGGGGCTGGAAGTGATTCACCAAATTGAAAATACAAAGGTGCGAAAGGAGAAGCCGGAGGAGGACATAAAGATAGTTAATATTTCGATCAGTTGAAGGCGGCAGTGAATCCCATGTGAAGTCACAGTGAATTTAATCTTTGGCTTCACCAGATACGTAGCAGAAGAAGGACGATAGTCAGTGAATTTGCCCGGGGAAAGTCGTGGGATTCCTGTCGCGTAGATTCTTCATGGCGCGATTCACGCTTCGTTTTCTCCGCATTTTCATTTCTCTCCTCACCGCGCAGCGCGAAACATTTTATTTTTCCCACCAGCATCTTTTCACTTCCTCACATGCGCCCGGACAGGCCATTGTCGCTGTTATGGTTAAGTTGCGCGTTGCCGCGAGGATCTTCTCGGAGGACAACTACCTCCAGAGTCTTCAGGGATCCGCCACGTCACCCGTCAAAGGTGAGAAGCGGCTGGTGGTGGTTGTGCGAGATCCATACAAATGGCAGATTGGAACTCTAGCTCTCGAGGTGCAGAGAGCATACCGAAGCTGCTACCAAGTGTGAGTGTCCTAACTGCTGTGCTGTTTCCAGACAGCTTCTGACCGTAGGCGCAGTGAGCTCCCGACCATCAAGTACCTCAAGGACAACGAAGACGACTGCGACCTGGACCCGCGAGCCTATGTGTCGGATCTCCTTCTCGACGAAGGCCGGGCCCAAATCGATGCTTCTGACCAGCGCGTCACGATCAAGGTCATCTTGGAGCAAGGGCTGGCTCTACGACAAGGATCTGTCGCGATCGGTAGCCAGTTGGACGACCCCCGCTACCAAGACCAACTCGAGAAGAGTTCGCGGCCCCCCGTTCCCACCTTCCCTGCTCAGCCGTCGTCATTAGGCAAACGCTCATTTCCCGTCGGCGACGAGTACGGTTTGACAGCCTCTGCGAACAAGAGGCCCCGACAAGTTGAGATACCAGAGACACAAAGACAAGATCAAATTCCAGTGTCTTCAATTGAACACGAGGACGTTCACGGTTCAATCGAGCTAGTGGAAGGCACACAGTTTACCAACCCGGAGCAAGATTCGGAAGGACGGCAGAATCTCGTCCAGCTCAAGCAAGAGTCCCCCGAACTGCGGAGGATGCTACAGAATGTCACTCCCGCGACTCTCGACGAGCTTGAGGAGTTGACAGAATGCCCTCCAACTTTTGGCACCAACAAGAGACCGAGGGTTGGTTCGACGTATGCCAACAACTCGCGTGCCTCGCATCAGCCGAACGGTCTCCTGCCGTCTACCAATTCCCTCGGGCGGCTGCAGAAGCGCTCGCAAGGACCGATTACACCTCCCTCAGAGACATCGAGAAGGCTCTCTAACTCCGTGACCCACCAGTCTCGACGCTCGGAAGAGGCCGCAAAATCTACCGCTCAGTCGGGATCGGCATCGACATCGGCTAGCAAATTCAAGAGGCGTGACATCTACGACTACCCAGAATCGGAGATTGATGATTCCCAAATGTCCCCGCGGTCGCGACAGGCGCAACTAAGTAATCGAAAGTCAATGAACAATTTATCGCATATTGCGAATCTACAATCCCCTCGTGAACCCGAGGAAACCGATTTTGGATTCACCATCAGCCAAGCCATCGAAGCTCTGGAGACAGAGTCCGTATTTGACGACAGCCACCCACTCGTTGAATCCTTGCCAGCGCCTGATCTCAATTTTGACAAGACGAACTCGGGTTCAGCCGATGAAATTGAAAACAGTATCTATGAGGACGCCGAGATGGGAGATGTTGATCGGTCAGGTCTGATAGATATGAGTATACCCAAAGGAACAGAGGTCAACGGAGTTACAGAGGCCGAGCATCTGGATGGAGAAGATAAAGAAAACGAGGCATCGCTTGCGATATCTGCCATACCCCACAAAGATGCCGCAAAGGCTACACATACTGAAAATGTTACGTTAGGCACACAGGATAATGCTAAAGAGGGCAAACCCATCGGCTCGTCAAAGGATGATCAGGCACATGAGAGCCGACCCAACGCGAAGAGGGTTCGAAAACGAAAGTCAGACCCCTTCAGCACGGATACCAGCAAGCAAGGGTCTACACAGAGACTCGACCACTCCGGCCAGGCTGATGCAGACAAAAGGGCCAAGAAGGCCTCAAATACTGTCAAGAAACCCAAGGCATCGCAGAAGACGTCCACTCTCGACAGTCCAGGAGAGCAGCTGTCCCAGGATCTTCGGGAGTCGGCAGGGAACCAACGGCACATGGAGGCCGTGAACAAGAGACTCGCGGCACAGCAGAGAAGTGCGCTGGCAACACCCGCGAAAAAGAATAAGGTCCAGAAACCAGGGAACAACGCAGAGGGGACTGGTTCTGTGTTGTCGCGTGCTACAGGGGCTAACAAAGATGTGGTGTCCACGACAACACCTGCGCGGGCGAAGAATAAAAAGTTGTCGGAAAAGCCAACAGTGGCCACAACAACCCCAGAGATGGCTGTATCTCGCTCCTCTCCGACTGTCGTTTTTCATACTTCACAGTCAAGCCGTGACACGGCCGATTTATCGAAGACACCACTTCCGAATTGGGGTTCTGAGCCTGCGGCGGCTAACAAGCGCGGTTCTTCAGTCACAGACAAGGTGAGTGGAGTCAAGGACGATAAAGAAGCCGACTCCAAGACCTCGTCGTTTGGTTTGGGCTTGACTCCAGAAGAGATCAGGATTCTGGAAAGCCGTAAAGGCATGACCAAAGAGCAATATGAAGCGGATAAGAAGCGGCGACAGTTGGAGGCGAAAAAGACCGCCGAAGGCCAAAGAAAGCAAGGCGCTGCCACAAAGAAGAAAGCTACCACGGACAAGCCGTCGGTGGACAAAAACGCAGGGCCGCAGAGATCCAAGACTCCCGAGCCAAAGCCTGCTGTCACTCTGGCGAACACTAAGACGTCTAAAAGTCTTTCTTTCCAAGAAGATTCACCTGGCCCTGCTGACAAGGTAACACGACCTGACTCGGCGAAAGACAGCGAAAAGGAAAAAGCGTCGAGCCCAGGTAAAGCAGCGTCTGTCCGACGTGAGTCCTCCAGCACGAGCTTCTCAAAGTCGCAAAGCACCGAACCCAAAGTGCCGCCCAAAACGCCCGCCAAAGCATCCACAAAAAGCCCTTCCGTACAATCGTCCACCATCAGCGAGACACCCAAGCCGAGTGCTGGCGCACAATCGTCTGAGAAAGCCAAGAGCTCTGTGACAGGGAGATCCACCACCCCGGCGCCAGCCGCAAAGAGTGAGTCGAAGATAGGAAAGACACCTGCCAAAACGCCTCAAACGAAAAAGCCGACACTCGGGACAGCTAAGCGCCTGGTCGACCTGCACGAGGTGGTCCGGGGTGCGAGCAAAGCGAGCAAGGCTGCAGCGGAAAGCGTCCTTTCTCGTGTAAATGCGGCCAAACAGAAACAGAAGCCGATGACCTTCACCCTCGGTGATGACGATGACGATGACGATGACGACGAAAGCGACGACGAAAGCGAAGAGGAGGAGGCTGAGAAGGTCAAGGTCGTTGTGCCTCCCCGCAAGACGGGTCAAGACGAGGGCAAGAGCAAGAGCCAGAGCCAGATCAATAACAACAACAAGAAGCAGAACATCAGCAGCAGCAGCACTTCCGATGACGACTCATCGACCACATCAACCTCCTCGCCGTCATCAGAGGAAGCGGGAAAGAACAGAATCACCAACCCCAAACCGAGTCAAGCAAAGGGGAACGTGTCCGGTCGAGCTGGTCGTGCCAGTAACCGGAACAGGACCGCTGCATCCGATGATGACGATAGCCAAAGTCACAGCGAGGAAGACAGTGCCGACGACGACAGCGAGTCGTAAGACTTCGCCCATCAACCGGTGGTGGTAGTGGTAATGCTATACGACTTTGCTGGGTTTCAAACGAGAGGGTTGATTCCTAGTCGAGCTATCGGATTTTCTGGGATATTGGACTAGGACCTGGCAACTGGAACCGGAATGGGGACACATGATTTCTTGGTTTGGTGTTTCTTGGACAGTCTCACGTTGCGTACCTCGTACAGTGAGTGGGTGGTTGGGATACCATGGCTCGATGGATGGATGGACGAACAGACTCGGCGCCCGTTGCCAGCAGAACCAAGTCCGTAGGCAAGTACAGTATGTACGAGGTATATAGATACCTACCTGGCACCTGGATAGTTAAGGTAAGGTAGTCGAGCTTGCTTGGTTGGTCGGTTGGTGACTTGCGGTATCAAAAGTTCTAGTTCCATGCCACATCTACATACCTACATACCTACCACTACTGTAATTTTCCATCAACCTACATATACCCCTGCGATAGCGATGGCAATAGGGATGGCGATTCTGCTGTACTGTACTGTACTGTACTGTGTTTGCCCAGGAACCCACTTCCCAATGAAATCAATACGCAGTAACGCACGCACGCACATGATACTCAGGTAATACTGTATTTGCACTTCGCATCTATCTCCGCGTAGAAGTAAGTCGAGGTCGACCCAAGGCTTTTTTGCTCGCGAGGATCCTAGGTATCCGCTTCTCCTCGAAAGGATCTCACGAATCTTGAATAATCGCAATCGCTCCTGGTCCCCAGATCTCCCCGGTCATCATCACCAATCGTGTCCGGCGCGATTCGTAATCCCAGGCTCCTTTCTCAACCGCGCTTCTCTCCCGATCACCCTGATGGCCCTCGAATTCTCTGCCAATGGCACTCATTGTGTGGGTTGTCTCGACATATCCCTCGACGTTCGGATCTGCAACTCCATCATTTGCCACCCACACGGCTGCCAAGGGCCGGCCGGTGCCGAGACTGGATACATTCATACTTCGGCGAAAGAAAAGTCGTCATGACTGGATTTGTGTCTTTTGTTCTCTTCAATAATCTCTTCGTTGCAAGGGTCTTGTCTTCGTATCGTGTCCGTCATTGGTTTCTCCCCTTTCCTCAATCACCTGTGGCTTCATCCTACGGAACATCTGGCTCCCAACCGGTGGCAAGAGATGAGTGTGCAACGACGCCAAAGACATGTCTCCCCCCTCTCGCCAGGCGTGTCGCTTGAGCTTCATCAATATTCCGTAGCTGTCGTGCCAAGTCAAATTTCATTTCGTCCAGCCGCGGACTCCGTCCTCGATGGCAGTCTGGTTGTTACCCTCCAGTTTCAAGGGTCCCTCATCTGTTCCGAGACCTCCCCCTCTTTCTCCGTCCTAAGCATTCTCTGCTCAGCTCCACCCCTCGCGTAGCGACAGACTCATCTCAAAGTCCCGTCCTAGGAAGACTCTGGTTCGATGGTATTGCCGGCCACAATGTTTGCCCACCCAATCAATCGCCAGTGCTTCTCGATTCTTCTACTCAGTGCAATCTTCTCGCCAATCGCCGTACAGGCTGGGTTAGTCAAGGTCAGTTTGGCTGCATCAGCCTTGACACCCATAACTTTAGCGCCCGTCGCTGTAGACCCAATGTTCACCATCAACACTTCGTTCTTTGCGAGTTTGGCCACTTTGGCTTGTTTGCCGTCTGCAGTCTTGACGCCCAACAGACGCCGGAGCAAGAAGTAGTTAACCTCAAGTTCCATGTAGATTTCCGGGAGCTGGCCCTTTAGACCCAAGACGTGGCCGACGAGACGGTCTGCTCTGCAAAGTGTTGGGTCCACACGTGTGCCCACGCCGATCAGACCTCCAGGCACGGCAAATTTCAGATCGTTGTGTTCGGCGAACAAGCTCACCACACGGGACATGATTGGGCGGCAGACAGTCTGACCGGTTGCGTCTTTCGTGATGATACCTGGGCGGATTTCGATTTCGTCACCGAGCTTGAGGACGCCAGTGAGGATAGAACCACCTGCGACACCACCCTTGAGATCCTCAATTTCTGCGCCAGGCTTGTTCACGTCAAACGATCGAATGACGATCATATGTGGTGCTGCGCTGAAGTTCCGCACCGGAACAGGGATTTTGGTGACCAGGTATTCGTTGATTGCATCAATGTTGTACTTCAGCTGGGCAGAGATGGGGATGATCGGGGACCCATCTGCGACGGTGCCCTTAATGAACTTCAGAATCGACTCATAATGTGCCTGTGCGCCTTCTTCTCGCATGAGGTCGACCTTGTTCTGTAGGATGATAATATGGTTGAGCTTCATGATCTCGATGGCTGCAAGATGTTCCGAAGTCTGTGGCTGGGGGCAGCTTTCATTCCCTGCTATCAGAAGCAATGCGGCGTCCATGACGGCGGCGCCAGACAACATGGTACTCATCAGAATATCGTGACCAGGGCAATCGACAAACGACACATGACGCAGAAGTCGGTACGTGCCGCCACATCCTTCTCTTTCACAAGGAGGGTCGACCTCCTTTTCCGATTTGTAGGATTTGTAGCATGTAGGTCTGGGACACTCGGGGTTGTCGCACTTGTAGATTTTGGCGTTGGCATATCCCAACTTGATGGTAATGTTCCGTTCTAATTCATTTTTAAATCGGACAGTTTGCACGCCTGAGATGGCCTTGACGACGGTCGATTTGCCGTGAGCCACATGACCTATGGTGCCGATATTGATTGTAGCTTGTCTTGCGATGATCTCGGGTGATAGAGGAGTCAGTTTCGAGACATCGAGGTCTTTCGGGTCGGGTTGTTCAGGCAGAACCGGTCTAGGGACCTGCGCTTCGGGGATGGTTGCTGAGGTGCCCTTTTTGAGGGCGGACTTGGGTGGCTGGTTGGTTTCCTCGATATCATCAACATCGTTCTCGTCGCCGGGGGGTGTGCCGGGTTGAGAAAACTCGTCATCGGACGGCAAATCACCGTTGGTAGCCATGATTGTGGGTGGGTATGAGAACGGTGCAGACTTCTGAATTTCCGGTCAGTACTTTGAACCTGCTCAACACAAAGCCGTGGTAGATGCCGGCACTATCGGAGAATCCTCTACGTTTGCAGGATATATCTGGCGGCGAATGAGTATGACTCAGTTGATATTGCGGGGTGAATGCGAGGGACGAAATACTAAGACAAAATTCAGTTCATGATGCCAAGAGTTTGGAAACTACTCGCGACTCACTCTTCCCTCTTCAGGGCGAGGGTGACGCCGCCCTGTAAACGACAACATACGCTAACCTGATGTAGTCATTTCCGCCGCCCTTACTCAGTCCGCAAACCACCTCCTGCATCCCGCCTCAATATTGCGGATCAAGACGAAGACAACCGAGTAAAGCAGAAGGACGAGTAACTCGATGGCGCAACAACTTCCTGATTTCGACAATTCCTGGCTAGCAACGTCAGTATGTTGGTGCTGCCTTGCCTTCTGACTCTTAAAGACCCAACCATACTCACGGGAACTCCAGAAAGCCCAGAGTCAGAAATCGGTTCAGCCGCACCCAACAACTATCGTGGAATGTCTTTTTCGGCCACGGTCGTAATTGTTCCGCTGCAATCAAAATCGAATGGCACCAGTTGAGCGTGTTCCACGATGAAGGATTCTGCAGGTTTACAAATCTCGACCTATAGCTCACGCTACAACGTCCGCACCCGGCCTGACCTCGTTGCTGGCTACGTTGGCCTTCTTCATACGGCAGCTTTGAAGGATCTTTACGTTTCTCCAGCATGGTAGAATGTAGCCGATACTTACCTAAAGAACAAGAAGTGCAAAGGGGAATATCGGCTCCGCAGCACAAGTCTTTCAACGCATTAAAGAGCGTGAGGCAGCGGAAAGGTATGGCGAGGCTAGTCCCCAAAGACCCATTGGACAGCGAAGGACCATTCCGCACACTCTATTATGAAAATAATAAAGGGGGCTCATAAGTTTCCTGTAAAGCTCGTTCTTGGCCCGTTGGAGAAGGAAAATGCAGTTGAGGCCTGGAACCGCGCTTGGAGTCTCCTCGAAAACTACCAGTGGGAGCTGTCAAGAGATAAGGGAAGTAAGAGCTCCTTTACCCGACGCAATCGCAAAACCTCGTCGAGAAGATAGTCGCCGCAATGCCTCCAGGTTGTGGTCAAGATATTGTAAATTCACGTCGAGCTCACCTGGACACTCACCCGACCTGCGCCGCTTTTAAACAGCGCTCACCTCCCTCTCACCTCTCTCACCTTCACTCACCTTCACTCACCTCGCTCGCACAGAATTCTCCGCCTCCCTTCGAGAATGTATCTCGACGCTCTCGCCCGACAGATATCCTGTGTCGACGGCGGCGCAGAGTCTCTCCATTCAGAGTCCTGGACATGGCCGCCGTCGCCCTTCCTTGTCCTTCTACTTCGACCTGACGTTTCGCTCAGAGGGCTATAAATATGGCCAACTGGAAAAGATCTCTCAGTCTAGGGTTACCCGCCGAGTTGAATAAGTGATTATAGACAGGTACAACAACCAGCCGAAAGGGCTCGTATGCCGGCGCCGTCTGGGTCTGTCCCCGGTAAGGGCAAACGCCCTGCGAAGAGGTGGCAGCGACAGGTGCATTGAAACCATTTACGCACACTATTTATAGTTTCCTTGTAAAAATGATCAAACCAGAAGCCCCTCCATTCTGGACATGGCTTCGTTAAAGTGCTTGAAAGGTCGACAATCTTTGATCCTCTATAGTTCTCGGTTCGAATGTCCCGGGGATATATTTGTGCTCGCTTGGGGATTTCGAAATTCTTATAGATTGTCTCGATGTGTGATCGGTTTGTTGGCTGAGGTAAAGCCTCTTTGACGACCACCCATCGGCTCAAGTTACGGGTGTCCACAACATCGCCGAGCGCCTTAAATTGGGCATCTGTTAGTTTCATCCATCCATAGCACCTGACAGCCCATGTTCCATTTTCGCGACGTGAATCCAGTCTGGCAGAGGCCCTACACTCGCACGCAAGCGGTGTGATGTATATGGCG